GTTGGTATTTTATATATTTCAGCACCTTTACCATAAAATAAATAAATAAATAAAAGTGAAAAGAAGATTAGGCATCTCTATCTAAATCTGGCTGGTTGCAGAAGTATCAGAATGAAAAAGAAATGAGAAAAAAGTGGGGAAAAAAAATGTCAGTCATGATAACAAACATATCCGTGTAAGACAAACTCAGTAATAACACATACTGGTTTCCTTTGAGAATTAAATGAGATAACAATCTACAGACTTGTAATGAAGTATGTACATGTACCCAGTGACAGTGTGTTCAATAACTGGCAGATTTGCAAAGAATCCTAATAAAATATTACAATCTTACCTGTATTGGTAAGGGATGTATTGGTAATGATTAGAGGGTTAGGAATAGATTAACAGAAGAAAAGCAAGCTCCTGGACCCAGCTCTTTACATAACTCACCAATTTACTTTGGCCAAGTTACAACTCAAGTCTTAATTTCTTCATTTGTAAAATGAGGATAAAATAATGTTTTACAGATGAGTACATCCCAAATCATCCAATGGACTACAGCTCTGTGCTACTTACAATGTTTTATTTTTAATTTTCAGGATCACTTCCTCTGTCCTTCAGAATCTCTTCTTTCTTAAAATTTTACATTAAATTTATTTCCTTCCATTCCCCCATTAATTGAATAGCCAGTCAATATGAAAGCTACTACAGTACATTTATAAAAGGCTATATTCTCAGTATTTTCATAATACTATTGAAAGAGATAAAATACTTTAACCTATTTAATAACTTAAAAATTGGCTAAAAGTATTTTAGACTAAGATGATTTATACCCCCTTTCAGAAATAGTTAATTCACCCAAAAGTTTTCAAAAAATTGAATATCAAGAATATGTAATGATGAAAATAAAATTTTTACTATGTAATTCACCAAAGCCTTTGTCTTCACAACTGGTGAGATCAAATCTTTCACTATCATTAGTTTTGTAATAATCACAACACATTTTTACATGTTTATAATAATCCATCATAATATTTTTAATATTCTTAATTCATGCTTTTATGGGAAAACAATTTTCATTGATATTGCCATCAAGTGGATTCTGACCCATAGTGACCCTGTATAGGGTTTCCAAGGAGCAACTGGTGAGCCTGAATCGCTGACCTTATGGTTCAAATAACTTTGCAATCCAGCACATTAGTACACAGCGTCATATATTAGTTGGTTTATTTTGAATAAAAGAAGAGACAATATATAAAAGTCAAGAGTAACCAATATTTTCTTTATTTAATTTTTGTATGGTGTCACTAGATTTTACTAGCAACACAAAATTATAATGAAGGACTTTAAGATAAAATTGTATAGGCAGAAGGACACTGAAAAAGCAAAATATAAAAGCAACTTTTCTTTTAGAACTTGTTTTCTAGATTTATGTATTTATAAAGTTATCAATTTATAAGTGAAGAAGAATTAGTTTGGTTTTATTGTTGTTTTTAAGTGTTGTTGAGTCAGTTCTGACTCACAGCAACCCTATATAGAGTTTCTGATGAGCAGCTGGTTGGTTTGAACTGCTGACCTTGTGATTAGCAGCCCAGAACTTATCCTACAACACCACACTAGTATTCTTATTTGGTATTGTTTTTGTTCCTGTTGTATGCCAACAAATTGGTTCCAATTCATAGAGACGCTATATAGGGCTTCTGAGATTGGCTGGTAAATTTGAACTGTCAACTTTTGGTTACCAATACAGTGCTTATCCAACAACGTCACAGGATATTAGTATTCCAAAAATGCCTCAAAATTTCAAATGTGGTAATACTAGCATTGAACAGAAGATACTGCTAGGATTTAAAGCACAATGACAAATTACACTGTGAAGTTTGCACATTGCACAACTTCAGGGTAGGGATACACCATTCATAGTATCACCTACATAAATAGCATTCCTTGAGTTATGAACTGTACAAACTATGCAGTTCTTTATAGCAACCATTCCTGTTTATATTGTTGATATTTTAGGCAAACATATTGTGAAAAAATATGTTATTATAATTCCTGACTAATAATGGAAAATTACAAAGAGAAATAACCTCTAAAACACAATATCATGCATTTGTTTGTAAAGAAAAGTTTTCCCTATTTTCAAATAGTATGACTGGAATAAGAGGAAATGAATCTAAAGAAGATATCCAAAAGAACAAACTTATCTTGAATTCCCTAATAGTGAAATTTGGAGCTGATCCAGCTGTTAGATTAGTATCTTTACATTCCTCTAATTTTTTCTCCTCTACCATATCTTCTAAAGGAAAATGTTTTACTTTATTTGTGATGATGGTTCTATTTCATGTTTCTAATAGTCCTATGGAGAGATGACATCATTCAAATAGCTGGATAATTTCAATAACAACTCCCTGAATTCACTCACCATGTCACAACTAATTATATGGAGGGAACTAAAACTGCTACAAGAAGGTTAAAGAAAAATTAAAGGAAAATAATACACTAAGTGAGAATTCAGAATTACAATATAAATACTCAAACAAATCAAAAGAATATATTATAATGAATTATTTAAAAGGAGAGACACCAATAAATTTTTAAATAAGCTTTCAATGCATTACCATATTACATATGAATGCTTTATAGACAACATACTTAAGTGAAATTACACATTTTTATAATATGTGATTTCCTAGTAAAAACAAAATACATGGAAATCTGAACAAAAATTCCCTTGTAACTATAAGTATTTATTCTTTTTGTAGCCAGACACAATTGTGCTTTAATTACTTTTCCTGGCATGTATTTTTTGAGTGTTTAAATCTCCCCTGTATACAAGACTGAGAAGAAGAAACAAATATTTGTTTATTTATCTATGCCTCACCTTATTAAAAAAAAAAAAAATCTGTAGATGTTTAAAAGCATGCTTATAATATAGTAAGGTAACAAAAATTAGAAGCACATGAAAAATCAGCAAGAAAAACAAAATGTACCAGGTGAGTCAAAAATTATCCACACTCCAGTTATGTAAAAACACACCTCCACATCTATGGCTGATGACAACATTGAATGTGCATGTAAAATGATTCTGTCAAATAGATGAATGACAGTGGATTATGTGGCAAATAATTTGCAAATTGACATGGCTCTGCCTATGAAATAATCCACTGCAGACTTGGGTTTAAAAAGTTTGTGTGAGATGGTTACTGAAACAACTCAAGAACACCATAAACAGAACCGTTTGAACATCTGCAAACAAAATTTGGACTGATTGATACATGAAGGAAGGTAAAAGTTTCTTTTAAAAAATTGTTACTAGTGATGAGACATGGATTCATCATTATGAGCCTGAGAGTAAATGGCAGAGTATGGAATGGAAATATCCTCAAACGTCAACCAAGAAAAAGTTCAAAAGTCAACCCTCAAGCTGGAAAATTGATGCTTACAGTTTTCTGTGATTCTCTATGGCCAGTATTAGAACACTACCAGGAAAAAGATTCAACAAAAAACAGTGCTCATTTCAGTGAGATGCAAACTGAAGAGCTGAAGCCTATATTTTGGATTATCTAAGGGCATTGTGATCTTGCATGCAACACCTCTGCTCACACTGTTGAAATGCAGTAAAATCTATATTTTGAGATGTTAAAGCATCCTCCCTATAGATTGATCTTGCTCCACTGGACTTTCACCTTTTTGGTCCTCTGAAAGCAGCCCTTCAAGGACAAAGAATCACCTCTGTTGAAGTTGACGTTGACTATTGAAGGCAGTAGTGTAATTGTGGCTCATAGCTGAGCCTAAAACATTTTTTAATAAGGACTATGAAAACTTGTTGAGAGATGGAGAAAGCGAATTGAAAAGCAAAGAGATTATGTTAAAAAAAAAAAATGTATTTGTTTTTTCTCAAAGCTGTTTAAACTAAATTCTATAGCCAAAATTGTTTTTTTTTTTTTTTTACTGACCCTCATAGAAACACCTGACCATCTTAATATTAATGAAGCATTTCATGCAGATGATAATTGACTTTTTTCCTAATCAGTGGAAATAATAAATAAAGGTTCACATTCTAGCATGAAGGATATAGCCTGGATTCAAGAATAATTTTCCATCAGCAGTATGGTACTGTTGGATAAGCACTGGGCTGTGAACTGCATAGTTAGTAGTTCAAACCCACCAGCTGCTCCTTGGAGACCTTATACAGTGTCACTATGTATCGGAACTGACTCAAGGTCACTTAACACCACAATGCTATCTTAAAAGAAAATGAGCCCTACTGGTACAGTGGTGAAAGTGCTCTGATGTCAACTGAAAAGTCATTGGTTCAAACCTACCAGGTACTCAGTGGGAGAAAGATGTGGCACTTTGTTTCTGTAAGTATTTACAGCCTGGGAAACTCAATGGGAAACTTCTACTCTGTCTTTATAGGTCTGCTTTGGTTAATATTGACTCGACGACAATGGGCTGATAGGTAAAAATAAAATCGAATTTCATATTTCTCTGCTCTTTGAGGTTTGACTCTACATGGTGTAAGATTTGAGAAAACATTAAAGTACCTCTATTCTAGCCCAATAATGATCATATCTCAACCCCTAAAGAGGCAGTCTGTTAATGATAAAATAGGGGAATGGGATTTAAAAATGTAACCTGTATTTCAGTATTTGGTAAATTGTTCTATTGTGATTTCTGCTTTCATATTAATTAAATTTGTGATTACAAAATTATGCAGCTTAAAGCAGCTAATATTAGTACTACAAAATAAAAAAAAAAAAATGTTCTTCACCATCAGATAAATAAATGAACAAGAAAGAATTATATAGGCAGAGTGAAATTAGATGAGTGAGAAATTGTACTAAAGGGATCCTGTTATTCTTTCTAATTTTGTAGAGGTGATTATCATTCTTCCATCTTCTCTTTTTAATTTCTCTTTATTCACATTTTTTATAACACCTGAAATCAGAGGTTAAGTTGCTAAACAATTATCTCAAACCAAATTGTTTCTCAGGGGAGAATATATATTTTACCTGATTTGTTAGACACCCAAATAATTGCTTCTGAAGATACATGGCTTCTATTTCCCACCACAATGGTTAATGGGATTTGCCACAGGTAACTGTAAAATAAAATAAAAACTTTAAAAATAAGAAGGATTACATATTTAAAAATAATTCCCATGCATCTCTGTGTGATTTTTATCACTTTTTTAATGGAACTAAAACAAAACAAAAAAAAACAGTTCAGTCATACTAAACCAAGGATATAAATTAACTCTTTCAACACCACTAAGACTTGTCCTCTAAGAGTTTTAATTTCAATACAGAAGGGACCTGCTAATAAAGAATTTATATCTATTTTACCAAAAAAATATAATCACATTTTTCATTAGGAATTAAAAGTGGCTGCATTTTATACAGGAGCCCTGGTGTGGTTCTGTGGGCTAATGCGTCAGACTGTAAAGTTGTTTGAACTGCAAGGTCAGTGGCTCAAGCTCACCAGCTGATCCTTGGAAACCCTATACAGGGTCATTATGGGTTGGAATCGAATTTAAGTGCTCTACAACATAAAGTGGTTAAAATCTAAAAAGAACTCATTTCTACTTGTTTCTATATTAGATTAATAAACATTTAATGATTTTGTGGGTTTACATTTCAACATTCTTACTTATTTCATAGCTATTCGGCGAGATACTATTATTATTTTTTACATAAAGGTTAAGCTACTACAACAAGGTTTACTCTGCTAAGCAGAAAAAAATCAATAAAACGAATCATACTCCTCTAAAATTCATGCAAATACAAGAACAGTAATGACACAATATTCAGTTTTCTTAAATGTAATTTTTAAATGCAGTGACAAAGCATTTACTAATATTTAATGTTAAATTATTGGTCTTAGTTATTAAAGACAAATCTTTTCTAATATTTGCCTCTTTATAGTTTAAAAATTGATGTCTACACTTGAACACGAAATACTACCTATTTAGTCTCAAATGCCTAGCCAAACAAATGCTAAATGGCTTTACAATAAGTCTAAAGACTAGACTTTGTTTTCTTGAAATACAGACAATGTATTTCAAACTATCAATGTACCATTAGCAGTGTACAGTAAGTAAAAACACCTAGTATGATTTTTTTTTTTTTTTTATTTGTAATGTAAGGAAAGATACTGTGTCAACCCAATAACTGGAAGAGTGACTGGTGAACGGACTATCTGTAAAACATGCCTGGAGTCATTAATAGTAATTGAGGTGGAGGGAGGATCATGCCCTCTGAATTTGTCCTATGGAACACGGTTGTTTCATCATTTCATTTCTCCCATTCACAATTAATACACAGAAATTCAGTAAAAGTAAAATGCCCAAATAGGAGAGGAAGAAATTCATTATTTCATAACAACTGCCATCTGCAATAGGAAAAGTCAAAAGATAATATCTTTAGGATTCTGAATTTTAAAATAATGCTGTACTGTTAAGTGCCATTGAGTCATTTCAACTCACAGTGACCCTGTATAGGGTTTCTAAGGAACACCTGGTGGGTTTGAACCACTCACTTTGTGGTTCACTGTTTAGTGCTGATCCCATAGCGCCACACCAGGAGTCCTTTAAAATAATATGATGTGCTTAATCAGGCAAACATTTTTGAGCGCCAACAATGTGGAGACACTATGTCATACTATAATTGACTTCACATAATTGGTCATGAAAGAAACAATTTATAGAAGCCAACGCTGTATTGATTTTTCAGATAGAAGTTAGTGAACAAGAACAATTTAAGCTCCTTAACAAATACCTCCAAGCCCCTAACATACAACCAAAAATATGCCATAAATATTTGATGATAGATTTACTGTGAGCAAGGCACAGTGAATTATTTTACTTCTCTAACAGCTGTTCTCCTTGGAAGATAATGAATCTCCTTTGGAAAAGGAAAGTTAATTGGAAAAACAAGTTAAGAGGCAACAGTGCCTAACTCTGGATCTAATTCTCAAGTTAAAGCACAAGTTCATTTTTGTGTACTTGAAAGAACCTAGAAATAGGAGGCATTCAATTAATTTCTTTCAAATTAGAGTGAATGGAATTGGACAGAATATAAGTAAAATAAAAGACCAAATTAGTCTATCCGTAAGACGCAGATTAACATTATGAACTAGACGTTTTAACTTCATATCTTCCACAGTAAATTGGCTCAACCTAATGTGCTGCACAAGTGTCTCCAGTGCCACCTCACTTTCTTGAAAGTGGCTCAGGAGGGACCAGTCGCTGGAGAAGAATATCGTGTTTGGTAAGGTGGCGGATCAGAGAAAAAGAGGAAGGCTCCCAGTGAAATGGATTGGCAAAGCTTCAGCATCAATGGGCTCAAGCATGGCAACAATTGTGAGGTTGGCCCAGGACCGGGCAGTGTTTCGTTCTGTTGTACATAGGGTCGCTATGAGTCGTTGGTACCAACTCGATGGCACCTAACAATAATAACAACAAATGGTGAAGCCAAATAAGTATTATTAAAAGAGCAAGCAATATATAAAATTAAGGAAAATTAATGATTTTTTAAATAAATCTAAGACTGCAGTATATCTTAAAAGAGATTACAAAAATGAAAATGTGAAATTAGATTGTATGTGGGCTGCCTATGCTTAACTTGAAATTTAGATATTCCATTTTAAGCTTCAAACAAACAAAATTCCAAAAACAAAACAAAACTACATTTCTAAGACGACCTAGTATATTTTTCTTTAATAGTTCCTAGCACTACCTCTCTACACGTTTTTACAATGAAATAATATTTATTTTAATGATTATGCCAAGATAGAAAATATTCAGTGCAATTTTGATGAGAAAAATGAAAACTAATTACCAAAAAATGCTACAAAATTTAATAAAACACTAATGTAAACTGGTTAACTTGAAATGTACAAAATTCCCTGTAACATATACTCTGAGGAGTTCTACAGCATATGAGGAGCTATTACTTAACATTGTGATTCATTAACTTTATAAAGAAAAAAAAAAAAAAGAAATTCACAGCTTCCTGAGTACCAAAACTCTAACAAGTATTTTATACATTTATGCATATTAACTAACTTTATGAAATTATTAGCAATGTAAAAGATCTTTTCTTTATGCTGTTACAGCTCTCACTATATATATTATATATGGAAGACAAAATTACTATGTGCATTAAAAATGTAGGCATGTGGCAATGATGATTGTCCCATAGAAAAATCAAGACAAAGAATTTATTGGCATTTCAGAAATTATCCTCACTTCCTAGGAATTCTGGCATATATGAATAGTAATTTTAACACATCGATTGTTCTCACTGTAAAAATATAAGAAGGCTATACAAAGAGCAGACAGAATTCATTTTTAAGCCTGGAATACAATCTTAATGTTAATGTGAACTAAATGATTGTTATATCTAAACATAAAATATTACATTATTAACAAGAGACATATTACTTTCAAAATAGAAATATATATATTTAAGACTAATAGAATGCTGTGTCTTATTTTGTGCTGTGGAATGGGATCCAACTCATGTAGGGCAGAGTTGTTATTGTTAAGTGCTATCAAGTTGGTTCCAACTCATAGGGACCCTTTATAGGGTTTCTGAGAAGCAGCTGGTGGGTTTGGACTGCTGACCTGTGGTTCGCAGTCCACTGCTGATCCTACAGTGCCACACCAGTAGAAATACCTTTATAGTGCTCCCAAGGGGATCATCTTTTTGGATGCAGATTACCACATATTTCTTCCAAATGTAATTGGTGGATTTCTAAGGTCTCAACCTTTCAGCTAGCAGCCATGCACTTAACCGCTGCACCACCAGGGCTCATTTTTATCTTACTTAATAGTTTTTGTGCCAGTTTCTGTGGTTCAAGACTCCATGATTTTATAGCTCCAGCAATAATAGCAAAGCTCTACATGATACATAAGCTTATACAGTCTGAGAAAACTTCTCCCTTAGAGAGTCAGACTCCTAACTGATAGATGTGATGCAAGTTATAGTTTGACAGAATATTTTTGTTCAATATCTTTTCTGTCATCTGTGTGTCCTTTATGTTTTTTATGCATCAGTGAGGTTTGTGTCAGACTGATCATTCTCAAAGGCATGGCCTGAATCTAACGTTGCCACAGTCAAGAGTTTCATGTACTTCCTGGCAAAGCCAGGGATGATGCCTAAGCATGTTTAGCCTGGGGCCAGACGGTGGAAGATCAGAAGCAGCATTCAACAGCTGTGGGCAATCCAAGCTGGGTGAAGAAGTAATGACAGAGTCAGGTTCTGACAGTATAGAAAAGAAATGTAGTCAGTATTCCACATGGTCAAGCAGTTTAATTGCAAAAGGCAACTTGTTGAAGGTCTATCTGTAGCTTTGCTTATACCTAGATTATGCCTATGCTTATACATATACCTAATACCTATAAATGTATTTATACCTATACCTATGGAATCCTGGCAGCGTAGTGGCTTATGTACTGGCCTGCTAACCACAAGTTCAGAAGTTCAAGTCTACCAATGGCTAGGTGGGAGAAAGATGAGGATTTCTTCTCCCATAGAGATTTACGGGGTTAATATGAGTCAGAACAGACCTGATGGCACATCACTATCACCACACCTACACCTAAATCTATCTCAAGAAGATTAAAGATTTTATGTTTTCTTAAACTGGATTCCAAGTTTAGCCACCAGAAAATATTCATGAATATATCAACCATTTCTATTTACATATAGCTTAGGTGGGAATGATATTCATTCATCTAAGAGACAACAGAGTAAATTTAATATGTACCCCAGATCTCCTATATATTGATGGATGCTAAAGTCCAACACCTAATTTTCCCAGGTAATAGGAGATAGCATAAGTAAGTTAATGCAAGTACCTCAATTTAATCTTTATACTTGCTTTCCCTTCACCTCTACCAACCTCTTACCAGGATAGCCTACAAAAAATGAAACTGACTGATTTAAGTTGTACTCTTTTCCTTTGTCCCAGTCTTTACTGAAACACAAAATAGTTGGAGAACATGAAGTAGAAAAATTAGACAAAAACTGCTACATGTTAAAGTATCAGTAATTAAAGAAAAGTTTCAAAAAATGTTAAATTAACAGCAATTCAAAATTCATGTATATTGTCTGTTTAGTAGCTTAAAACATCAAGATTGAAGTAAAGAGAATGTATTCGTCACTGATACTCTTAGATCATATTAAGGTATTTAGTTTCGAGGGATTTTTGATGCAGACACTGTATACTTCATTTTTTACCTTTTAATTTATTTTTCTATATAATTTTTCCTATTATTTTCTGTTTTATAAATATCAGTGTGCTCAATTTTATTAAATTCACTTTAGCACACCTTAACATTCTTGCATTTAATTCAACAAATATTACAAGGAAAAGTAAAAACTATATATATCATAACTCATATTTTAAATGTACCATGATAATTTAAAATTCTTGATTTCCTAAAAACAAAAACAAAACATAATTTTAGTGCACTATCAGTCTGAAGATTAAAACATAATGGAAGTGGTAGCAATAAGAGGAATCAGAATGAAAATGTTGCTTTTCTTGGTTACCATTGAGTCAGTTCCAACTCAGCAACCCTGTAGAGGGTTTCCAAGAAACAGCTGGTGGGTTTAAACTGGTGACCTTGTGTTTCAAACTCACCTCGTGGTCCAGTCCTTATCCTATAGTGAAATACCAGAACTCTAAATGAAAGTAACACATAGATAAAAGGAAATGAAAAATATCCTCCCCTGAAAACATTCCATAATTATGTGATTAATATGTTTAAAAATACAAAAAATTCAAACTGAAAAGTAAGAATAAATGTAAATATTTTCATATAAAAAAGAGAGTTATTTGTACCTATGATTTCGAAGTTCAAGTGCTTTGGTTTTAGCACCAATATCATAAATAAAATGTTGCTGGGTAATTATTATCCTATTTTCTGCTGTTGTATTTCCCAAGATTGTGATGACAGGATAACCCATCTGGAGTGTCCACTGATCCATTACTTCTTGTATATTTACATATTTTCCATTCCTTTTTAAAGCCTGATAACCAAAATTGTATAAATTAGTTTTATAAGCATGAATTGTAAACATAATTTACATTAAACCATTTTCATTTTTATCTTTAAAATTTTCTTAAATATAAAATGTTTAAAATCAGTGAAGCTGATATAATGCACTAGTAAAATTAATCTTCTCACCTTAAGTTAAACTTAATGTGTGTGTGCGTGTGTGTGTGTATATATATATGTTTTACTAGCTTTAAATTTTTTACATACTGGAGAATAAAATACATTTTATTGGTAAAGTAAGTACTTGTAGCATCATTAAGTGTCTCAAGTGTGTCTAGTAGGCACATTTAAGTATTTGTCATTCAAAGAAAAATACTTCTTTAAAACTTTCAATATCTCTCAGTTTAGCATGAATATCTGGCTGAATGAATTAAATTCTATTTTAAAGGTGTTATAATTCTTTGAAAGTAGGCAAGGTATCTTTAATACCATTCATAACTTAAACATAGTTCAATTTCATTGCACATATATGTATATATATATATGTATATATATACACATATATATTCATTGCACATATAGATACATATATATTCATTGCACAAATATATGTGTGTGTGTGCATGTGTGAAGCACAAAGGAACTGTAAGTGCCAATAAAATTACAAATATTTTATAAATTTAATTTGAATATTTAAGTAGCAGATTTGGTGTCCGAACATCCTATACTTTACCTCTGATAGTGTATTCCACAGATCATTTCTAGCTGCATTGCCATACTTATGAATGGTTAAATAATCCTGCAAAGAATATAAAGTTATAATTACAATTCAAAAGCTATGCAATTACCAGTAAACACACTCATTTATCAATTCAATTAACCAATTCTATTTGTCGCAATTGAATTAATACAAAAAGGAATAATCTAAAAGATTAAGAACTTAATTTAAAAATATTTCAAACAGATTTAAGAATAGCATGTTTTCTAATTAAGTCATCAAAGGTACTAATCTTCAAAAATTATTTTTAGAGTCATAATCACTTATGGAATTCTGGGGTCAAAATCTTCATCTAATTTATAAATTCAACCTCAGAAGAAACTACTCTCCATGGAAATATTTAGGGAAAACTTCCCATCAGGCTTTCATATTGCAGCATTTTTAGAAAAGAAATTATTTTATAGAATTAAAAAAAGATCTTAGTATATGCTAAAAATCTTTACTTTGTTGCCTGTATTCAAAATTTACATCCCAAGAATGATTAAACAATGAAAAAGTGTGCTCCTGTGTGAATTTTATCAGAATGCCTAGCTAACAGCATTGGTTAGGCTGAAATCTGGTGGGTTTTGTTTACTCAGAGTACATGTTTTTTCCCCATGCCTTCTATTTGAAGACAGACAAGCCAAACAAGTAAGAGGAATTGCTTTGACAAAAGAGTGAGGATTGTCTCCACAACCCTTTCTAATATCTCTGAAAAGGAGGGGATGCTTATTACAAAAATGATGAAATCTGCTTTTTATTAAGTTGAAGCAGACATTATTACTCAGTTTAAAATACATTTCTAAAGTTATAATATTTTGGGGTTTAGGACTTCCTAATCAAATTTCCATACATTTCTATTGATTTCAGGCCTTGCTTCTTGCTAAGGGACATGATTTATGTCAGGTAATTGTATCATTAATAATGACAGGTGGTGATGGTGGTTAAGTGCTGTGGAGTTGGTTCTGACTCATAGTGACCCTGTGTAGGATTTCTGAGTCTGTGAATCTGTATAGGAGCAGAAAGTCTCATCTTTCTCCTGCAGAATAGCTGGTAGTTTCAAACTGCTGACCTGTAGGTTAGCAGCCTGACTTATAATCACTATGCTACCACAGCTTCTTAATAAGGACTAGTGGGCATTAAGTTTTACTGATTTCAAAAGTGGGGAAAGGAGAGGGAACTATGATCCACAGTTAAACAAAGTCTCCTTTTTCCATTGAAATTCCTTCATCTCTACAACATGTAAGTAATTGACAAAATCTTAATTTACATCACAGTACATGAGTCAGAAGTGACTCCAGGGCACACCACCACCACCACCACAGAAACAGAAAAAAAAAAAAAAAAAAATTGCTGACTCCATTCAATACTTTATGTAAAGTGGGATACTTTGGGGATAATTAAGATTGTAGAAGCAAATTTTCTGAAATACAAATTGTATCACCTGTGACAGGTTCAGCTTTTGTTGGCAACTCACAGCAAAGCAAATGACAACTCCCACTTAATCAGACACCTAGTGAAGCAATGTCCAACACTGACTGAGCAACAACAAATTCATAGTCATCCAAAGGTGTTATGAATAACTTTATTTTAAAAATATATCCCTCAATAACCTATTTGAATCCAAATTTCAGCTTTGGGCAGTGCAGATGAGGTTTTTTCCCATTATAATCCTAGGATCAGGATTTAAATAAATTATTTCAGAGTTAGCTGTCAATACCATCAAAGCATTCTCTATGTGTTTGTTTGTTTTTGCTTTTTTGGGAACTTGAATAAATTTTAAAACAAGGGAAGTCATGAAACATCAATTTGAAGTTTTATGTAAGTGATGCTACAATAAAAATGATCTGAATGAGAAGTAACTTTTATTGAGTTCTATTAATGGCGAGTGCTGCTAGGATAATACAAAAGGAACAACTAAGGAGCAGTGACAGACCATGAAACGGCCAATACATAAAAACAGGTCTCTCATCAGAGGCAGATCACAAAAGTTATAGACTCTCCAATCTGATGTGAGTTGACTCTTGGCTTGCTTTTGATCATTAGCTTGACTTCTTTGTTGCCTCCCCAATTCAGAATAAGGCTCAAACTTGTTTCAATCAGGCGGAATGGCGATTACCCAGGCTTACAAAGCAGCTCCTAATGTAGGCTTGGGATTCAGGGCAAAATCGGCATGTTTTTGGGAATCTCAGCAGCCTCAATGTTCATATGTTATTTGAATTCTTTATGTCAACCCTTTTTCCAAAAATAATTTTCCTTAGCTCTTCCAGCCTTTCTCTTATACAATGAAATGCATATACTGGAACGAATACATTTTGTAGAATTCCAAAGAAACTTAAAGTGTAGTGGACATGCCTATTAAGAAACATATCATCCATTTGTTCTTTCATTTCCACAAAATGCAAGCACTTAGTATGTGCCCTGCACCTATCTTAGTAACGGCGGTACAGTGGTGGAAAAAAGAGAACTGAGGATAACACCAAATAATGACATGTAATTTGACAAGGTCCCTGTGACTGAAGCTGTAAAAATCTTGGTCCCCAAACCACATGGCAAACTAAATTCAAACATTTGGTATGTGATTGAATAATAAAACTTTAAGTTCTTTCCAAACCTACTTATCAGTGAACATGAAAATGACTAGATATGAATCTGAAATGGAAATATATGTTTACATTTATAATGTAAGGAAACAAATCAGTAGTTGATATGACATTATGAAATAAAGTAGTATAGTACATAAAACATAATGTTTTAATATCTGCTTTAAGAATTATGAGATATCTATATTAGATATTTCAGAAATAAGACTTATGAAAAGACTAAAAGAAAATGGCCACTTGAGTATTATTAATGGATATATCTAGCAGTAGAAACTGATTAAAAATGTAAAGGATATTAAACAGAAGTTATTCTGAAATATCTACCCATGAAGAAAGGTAGCACACACAGTAGTGCAAGAACTGTGCTCTGAGTGCCTTGGTTCAAATCCAAGCTCTGTACTCACTAGCTATTTGCTCTTGGGGCAAGTTAATCTCTCTGTGCCTGCCTTCTCCTTTATAAAATGGTAATCATAAAACTACTTGTTGAATATTAAGTGACTTTCTATGAGGGGGTCTCCAAAAGTCCGTGGAAAAATATTTTATAATTCCATTTTTCCACAAAACTATTGAAGCCCTCTCATATATGTGTTGCACAGTGGGATAAGCACAGGATTGGTAAATACAAGGTTAGCCATTCAAACCCACAAACCACTCCTTGGAAACCCTTCCCAAGTTTGCTCTGAGTTGGAATTGATTCAACAGCAATTGGCAACAACAACAAACATATACGTACAGTGTTTAGAATAATGCATAGGGTCTAGTATGCAGTTAAGTATTGTGTAGATCTTAGCTATAATAATCTTTTTAATCACCTCAGACTATTGATTAGAAAACTGAGTAACAGATGGAAAAGCATCACTAACAATAATAATTAAGAAACACAGCATACAATTGAATAATATGAATAATAATATTCGCCTCTTTTAGCACTCTGAATTGCTTTACAGTTTTTTCCATACTCAATCCATATAGCTATTATAATTTAGATTATATCCAAATTTAATATATCAGAAAACTGTAACTCAGAGACAGAAGTCCATATTTAAACCCCATACATGTGTCCACAGCTCCTGTCCAATATCACTAGATTCCCATAGATAACTAAGAGTCATGTTCAAAACTGAGTTAATTATCCACCCCAGAATGACTATTCTTAGGATCTTTACCCTAGTGATGAATCTGAACCAAGAAATCACCCTCGGGTGCTGTATTTATGATGGACACCTAACCACAAGGTTGGTGGTTCAAACCCACCAGCCGCTCTTTGGAAACTCTATACAGGTTCGCTATGAGACAGAATGGACTAGATAGCACAAAAAACAACTCTCTTCCCATCACATTCAAGTAATAATTCTACTATTTATTTAGCATTCTATATATTCCTCTAAAGGAGCTCTGGTATCGTAGTGATTACGAATTGGGCTGTGAGCCGCAAGGTCAGCAGTTCGATATTACCAGCTGTTTCGCGGAAGAAAGATGAGGCTTTCTGCTCCCGTAAAGATTTACAGCATCGGAAACCCTGTACAGGGTCGCTATGAGTTGGAATCAACTCCATGGCACATAACAACAGCAACAACAACATATTCCTCTAAGATGCCCTGGTAGCGTTGTGGTTACAAGTCGGGTTGCTAATCTCGTCAGCAGTTAGAAACTACCAGCTGTTCCACGGGAGAAAGATGAGGCTTTCTGCTCCCGTAAAGATTTACAGCCTCGCGAACCCTATGCAGGATAGCTATGAGTTGGAACCGACTCCACAGCACATAACCACCACCACCCTATTCCTCTAGGATGTCTCTCTACACCTTACCACATCTTACCTAAGCACTACAGCTGCCACTGTTCTGCTCTGTCCCATTCAAATCTACCATCCTCATCACCATTGAATTGATTCTAACTCTAGATCCTCAGCAGGGCAGAGCACTATTCCCAGCATTTCCAAGGCTGTAAATTTGTACAGGACAGACAACCTCATTCTCCTGGGGACTTTCTGATAGGTTTGAACCACCAATCTTGCAGCCCAAATTTTAACCCATTCTTTATGCCACCAGGATTCCATAAAATCAACTATGCAATCAGAACGTTGTTGTTGTTAAGTGCTGTCGAGTAGGTTCCAACACATAGCGACCCTGTATAGCATTTCCAAGGAG